AAAAAATTTTCTAAAAAAAAAAAATAGAAAATATATTTTTGAAAAAAAAAAGGAAAAAAAAAAAAATAAAAAAAAAAAAAGTGGAATAAAAAAAAAAAAAATAAAAAAAAAAAAAATAAAAAAAAAAAAAAAAAAAAAAAAAAAAAAAAAAAAAAAAAAAAAAAAAAAAAAAAAAAAAAAAAGAGGAAAAAAAAGGGGGGGGGTGGAAGGAAAAATTTTAAAATTTAATATTGAAGGGTTTGGGGGGGGTCCTGCGGGCCGTTGGGGGGGGGAAAAATTGGGGGGGGGGGGGGAAAATGGGGGGGATGGGAAATTTCTAAAAAAAACAAAAAAAAAAAAAAAAAAAAAAAAAAAAAAAAAATAAAAAAAAAAAAAATAAAAAAATTTTTTTAAAAATATTTTTTAATTTTAAAATGTGAAAAAATAAAAAAGAAAAAATAAAAAAAAATGAAAAAAAAAAAAAAAAAAATAAAAAGAGGAAATTGTAAAAAAGGAAAATAAAAAAAGGGGGATGTAGGAAAGAGGGATAAAAGGAAGGGGGGGAAAAAAAAAAGAGAAAAAAAAGGGGGGGGGAATTGGATGAGATTCGAAAAAATGTATGATGAGGATTTCAAGAATTTGTACTGCCGGCCCGTTCCTTGCCGGGCTCGCTGGCGTAGCCCGCGTCGCTTTGGGATGAGCCGGAGAGGGGGCGCTTTTGCTCTTTCCTGAAAATTTTTATTATTTTGTGGTTTGGTCGTTGTAACTTACATATAAGTTGTCCTGGCTTTTCGGATGCTTTTGACTAGCTGTTGCTTTAGAAGCTGTTGGCAGCAAGCGATTCTGTAGAGGGTGCCATCTTGCAGGGCTGCCTAAAGGGATATCTGGTTTTATCGTCATCCCTAAAGAACTCTGCTGGTTTGGCTTATTAGAGAGGAATCTTTAGATGCGTCGTCCCTTTTCAAAACTGACCTCAAGGCTCTTCGCCGCGCCATCAGCCGCTCGTGGCCCCTGATCGGCGATGTGAACCAGTGTGAGGAGACCGTCAGATGGATGTACAGGCCCGTCTTTTCCCCTCACTTCCACCACCTCCACCTCGACAATCGGAAGCACTCGGAAATGCTTGGCTTTTGTGTTGGGGCGGGCGACGCTTGGCAGCAGCAAGATCAGCGACGAGAAGACGAACACCACGTATTCCTAAAATCACGTTAAATAACTAAATTTCCTAAAAAACAAACCTGTGATCCCTTCGGATCCGAGTTTAGCCACCGTATGTGGGCAAAGATGAGCAGATCACGGACATCGATGCGAAGACCCTAACAAATGATAAAATCTTATGAAAGGCAGTAACCAACCTTATCCCTCAACATATCAGCGTGACTCTTGCGCACGGCGTCAATATGCGGGCTGAACTGCTCGTGGATTCGCTGCATCTCGTTCACGTATTCGGCGAGGGTTTGCATCTTTTGGAGCGCTGTTTCTACCTTAAAAATTGACGGAGAATTTCACACCGTAGCCAACTGCGTGCCTGTCTAGCTTCCAAACTTCCGCGTTCACATCCCGCCGCCACCGTACGTAGTAACAACGGGTACTGGACGATTCGTTGGACGGGCTTGATCATGCGCGACTCATAGGAGCAGTGCTGGGCCCCAGAACAGTTGGCAGCCTGAAAAAGTTAAAGTAGATAAGTAAGCTAGCAGAAACCTTTGCGGAAATTTCATCGTTCATACAAAAAATTGCCGGGCTCACCTCCAATTCTGCAAGCACATCCTTGCGCCCAGAGATCTCTTGCTGCAATCTGAGATACGCAGCCGCGTACTCGGCGTAGATTTTGAAGTCGGAGCACCGGTTGACGAACAGGGCGCAAACCCGAATCACGGCGTCCTAAAGACGACAAAAGACAATCAGAAGAATTCGGCCAATCATACCCGAACTTGTTCCTTGGTGGCCGTGTCCTTGTCGGTGTCGCCGATGGCTTCTTCTAGGCTGTCGAGGAATGCCTCTTGTATCTTCTCGAGTCGCAGCGCTGACTCCATGGTATCACGAACCGGCCGGATGCACATGTAGGTATCGATCATCTTAAAAATGCTTATTTTCATAGTTTCAAAGTAACACGAACCTGCTTGAGCTCGTCGACATACTTCCGCTCGGTCATCAGTAGCTCTTGGATGCCCTTGTGGAGGCGATCCTCAAGACGAAGCCGGGATGAGGGAAGAGGTGCTGGTACTGTCTGCGAACGTGCCGAAGTTGTTGGCTAAAACAAGGCAAGGTTAGCTGCGAATTCATCATACAACCTGTGGTAGGGATTCAAATTCGCCGGCGAGTTGACGACGGCGCAGCCTGATTCTTCGGCCATCTCGGAGAAGTCGTTCCACTTCTGCCGCAGATGCCGCATCCTCAATGAGGAGTCCATCTACAGCCACCACCCAATCACCGACACTTGGGCCACCTGGGCAGAATGAGGCGACACCGCGAACCTGGAAAAGATAAGGTGAACCTGTAAGGACCACAACCTTCCTGGTCGCTTTAAAAATCCCACCTCAGCCTTGATGACTCCATTATCAGTATGAGCGTAGATAGTGAGCCCCAGTCGTCCATTCTTCTTCTCCACCTCATACTCATCTCTCAACCTCATCCTCCACCTCCCATCCTCCTTCCTCAGCTCGAACAGCTGGGCATCGACGCCGAGCTTCTGGGTGGTACGGGATAGGAGCATGGCCGGGTCTTCCGAATCGGCCGATACCATTGTTGTCTTCCCATTTGGCAGAATGATTGGGATGATGCGGGCTGGATTGCTTGTTCCAGGTGCACAGCCGAGCACTACTTCATTTGACATTGTGGAGGAGATCATTGGGTTCTGCTCGCCGATCGGGGATTGGATAACGGGGGTTAGGGCCTGGAATTTGCATTTAGATTTTTTAGAAAATTTTAGTGAGAAAGAGAGAGGGAGAAGAAAATTTATAGAACTCACATCAGGGCCTCCAATCCGTACAGCTCCACCGGCCAACGCCTTCAGGTCGATGGCACGGACATCACTCGATTTACGCCACCTAAAATAGAATTTAATTTGTGGTTTTTGCGGTTCTAAAAATCAATGGCATTCACACAAAAAAATCTGGTTACCGCCATTGGGGCTCGCTGAGAGTATTAGAGGAGAATTAATTTTGATCTCAAATTGTTGGCCATTTGCCTTCGCGGTGAAGGTAAGCTAGCAGCGTTTCTTTGAGCAATAAAAGCTTTAGCGAGGATTTTGCTTTGGGAAACACGCAGAGATCTTTTGAGCAAAGTCGAAATACATAATATTAAAAACTCACATTCTAAAGTTGTACAAATTGGCAAAGGCGACGTAGACGGATGGCAGCGGGCAGTCCAATATTGAGTGGCTGAGGGCACGGGGCCCAAGGAGCGCGGAGAGTGACTGAAAATGAGTATTCTAAGCGTACTTAATTTTTTCAAGGAACTGGCAAGGCAGCTGATACTATGAAAAGCTTTTTAGAACCCTAGGGACCCATGATTTATCAAGTCCAGCCGGTTAAAGAGGTATAGCCGTCACGTCCCTTTAAATGCCAAATCCAGAGAAAGCGCGGTTCAAACTCCTGGACGCAACTACGAAACTTCCTTTCGAATGGGTTCGAGTGAAAAGGGCCAGGTAGTTCAGTCTTATTGGATATTCTCGGGGAGCCGCTCGACACCACCCCCATAAGCGGTACGCAGATTTATGGGCTTTTTGAAAGGAAAGCGAGAGAGAGAGAGAGAGAGAGAGAGAGAGAGAGAGAGAAAGAGAGAGATAAATAGAGAGAAAGAGAGAGGAGATAGAGAGAGACCGAAAAAGGAAGAGCTAATCTATAGGCCTTGTTCTAGACGGGCTAGCAAGGCGAGCTATGGATTTTTGTTATGGATTCCCCTTCTTGCATCGCCGCGAAGCACCTTGAAAACTACGGAATTGAAAGATCAGCGCTCGCGTTCCGTTTCTGTCGCGAAAATCTGTAAAAAATCTAGTCATAGTCAAAAAAAAATCCGCAGACCAGAACCTTGTTAGTAAAATTCTAAAATGGGACGAAAGCACCCGGCCATGGTACAGATGCGTAGGGATACCCCCCTGGCCGCGAAACACATCCCGTGCGAACTATAGGGCTCAAATATCCCTTTAAAGGGACCGAGAAGACGGGTGAAAATGGGCCCCAACATATATGGTTGATAGTTGGCGCGACGAGAGGGGGTGGTGTGAAACCGAATCCACCCTTCTGCAATGGCTGCTTGCCCAGGGCTTTTTAGAAAGAGCGAGAGAGAGAGAGAGAGAGAGAGAGAGAGAGGGGGGGAGAGATCTGGGCGGAGTAGTAGAGAAGGCCTTCATGCCCAATTTACGGGGGTTCGGCGAGGGTAGCCTCAAAAGGAAATCTGCCCATTCGCATCGGGGGATACCCCCGTAGGCTCCCGTTGTCGCGCACTTTTTTCCGGGGTGATCCCGCAGGACAAATTGTGGATTCGGGAGCGGTCAGGTCAAATCTTTGTGTTGAACCCGGAAAGTGTGAAGGCCAAGGGAAATGGGGGTTCTTCATATCTGAAACCCAAGGTTGTGCCATTAATGCATTATCCTCAAAAAGGCAGGGTCAACACTTGTTGTTTGGCTTTTAACTTCTTTTTTAATCTTCCGAGTTCCTTTAAACGAAAATTTAGTTCTTTAATAGTGCTTTAATGCAATCAAGCCGAAGTCGGTTCAAGTAACCTGATAAAACTAAAGCAAAAATTAAAATAAACCCACATCAAACCCGGGAATATGTACACGTTGAAGCGCCGCGATTCGGCATCGTAGCATCGCGTCCTTCAGAAGCGCCCTCTCCTCAGAAATCCCGCCATCTGGCTGTGGAGCTTGATCAAGACGCAACTGAAAAAGGATACGACAAATTTATATTACCGTACCTGTCCAACTCGCTCGTGAATCTTTGTTCTCTGCCTTTGCAGGTAGGTGAGCGCCACCTCAGCTGATGTGGTACGGGCCAAGAGTAAAGAGGAGAGGTTTAGGATCTAACAAATCGGTTTTAAAGGAGCAATGAAGTCACCGAATCCACAAGTATCCAATTCTTACCTGCTCCAAGAAATGCAGAGCCGCATGGTCAAACTCGAACTGGAACACGGAAGGCCCGTGGCCGAGATGGATCTCACGATCCGAGGTACCACGACAAACGACGCATTCAAGCTGAAAAAAACGTGCGGATTAAAAGGCCGCGAAAACTTACCAAATCAACATTGACCAGCTGATGGTTGTAGTGGAAGGCGAGACTCAACGGGTTGACGGCAACGACGGTAGACTCGACAGGGGTCACCTGACAGAAAATGAAAAGCTCGCTACCCAAAAACACACCTTTGCCACCACTCTCGTTCCATCGAATTGCGCAATTTGGGAGACTCGGCATGTAGCGGATTGCTGAAAAAAGTACTAAAAGAAGCAGGAAATAAATATACCGAAAATCTCATTAAATTTATTAAAATTACCTGGAATAAACCAGCGGTACTCGAATGGACGGAATCAAGGGGTGAGGCGGCAGCTACAAACGCGGCGGCATCACTTAAAAATATGTTTATAAAACAAATTTTACAGAAAAACAGAAAATATAGTTCAAATAAAACCAATTAAAAAAACTGACCGGCTCGACAATGTATTCACGGCCAACGTCCGTTGCGTCGCGTCCCGCCAGAAGACGAAGCACTCGGAGATACGCTCGACTTTAGAGCCTAAATAAGATGATATTCAGGAAGTTTTTAACTTTTTAAAGGAACCATGAAGCCAGGAGTCTACAACCAAATTTCCACGTCTCCTTTATTCCCTTTCATTCCCTTCTAAAATATCCCTTTAATTGCCTGTCCTCATAGTTCAAAACCGGGGGGCAACCATGGAGGGCGAGAAATACCCTGTGCTCACCCCCCAAAATGGCCCCACCGGGAATTTCGGCGCCTTTTCGATTCGTGCGCACGGGCCGGCAATTTGCATAACCACTCCATTACTTCTTTGCGGCTAGTGCAGGGGGATAGGAACGGAAAGAAGAGCGAGTTTGATCTCTGGATTGTTAGGGTCTCTGAAGGGCAACCTCGCAACGGCAATTTGCGAGTTGTTTTGATCGCGCGTTAAACACGCTCTTAGAAAAAAACTGAACTCGCCAAAAATGAAAAAAGTCGTAACACTCACCGCTGGATAGCTTGGACTCGACGACGGAGCGGCCGGCGGCAGTTGTGGCGGTGACCCGCGTACTGTCGTCAATAGTACTCGTGTGGACGGTGACATAGAGTAGTCGCGGCTCGACGAGCACCCATTTGCTCCCGTCCACCGAGAGCTCGAACAATTCCGCGTGGATACTGAAACAAAGAGATTGTTGTAGGTCTATTATCCTCTTTATGATTTTTATCAAACCCCTTGTTTATAAATCCAGACACAAACTAGCTAATCTCAAAGTCCCTAGCTGGTCTTTTTCCATAAAAAACCGGCCATTCTCTGGCCAGCATGTTCAACAAGTTCAAGTAAATTTTCGAAATCCCAAAGATTTCCGCGTGGATACTAGAACGAAAAATATTTTTTGAGGGTATCTTTTTATTCTATTTTCTTTTTGTCCCGATTAATATTTAAAAACCTAAGCTGAAAACTAGACCCATTTCCCAATTTGCAAAACCAGCTACCCTCCGTTCAGCCCCCGCCACCATTTTCGACAAGTTCAAGTGGCTGCGGACTACTATCGGACCGGGGGGAATGCTGCGATGTGCGCGGAAAGGCAACAATCGTGTGTCCCCCACCCCTTCTAAAGTGCCCCTTTTCATCGAGTATTCACGGCACGGAAGGGCCGCCAACTTTTCCTGCTTTTCCCCCAAGAAAAAAATGGTTTGCGGATTGTTTAAAGGGACGGAGAAGGCGAAAATAAAAATGTTCTATGGGTTCTGTCTTTGGTGGAGGAGGAAACCTGTTCGGTCGCGGAAATTGCACTTTCATTATGTTTCCAAACTGTTTTTTGCTATTCTTAAACGTAGAAACTTTACACATTTCTGTTGAACAATACAAAAATCTATCTGCAGAGTCCGAAATCCCATTAAAAAAAGTTACAAAAATTTACAATTATTTACAATTAATCATAATTTTCCCCTTATTTATCTATCCTCTCCACCACCTATTTACACCTGATTCCTCACACTGTAAGAGTTGACTTTGTGAACCTTGTGTTGAGAATAAATATTATTAAAACACCGCAAAAAGTCCAAATCTCGTCCCAAAATAAAAAAAGCCTCGACGCGTTTTCAAAATACCTCCTATATCTAGCATTCGGCGACGGCTCAAAATCGGCAGCCGTGAATATCAGGGGGCACTTTTTAGGAAGTAGATCAGCGCGGCGATGCCGCTGCTGTTTTTTCAGGCGGCGAGTGTCAAGGGGCGCCATTTTCACGAATAACTCCAGTAGCGTAGCAGCGCGTTTCGAATAGTTAGTGTCAAATAGGTGGCCAAACGAATAACGACTTCGCGCGCCTCAGAACAAATACAGTAATCCTCAAATAGAAGCGCTGGTGGCGCGTTAGGCGCCAAATTTTCCAGGTTGGCGTCTAGAGAACGGCGCAAATTTGAGGCAGTTAGCCGCGGGTTTTTTTGGGAGGTAAACGGGGAGCAGCGCCGACTCGTGTACCGTTTCTAATAAGCCGCCCGGGAAGGCGGGCCCCGAAAACGGGAGGGTAAACAAAACTTTTTAACGCGGGAGGCGCGTGCCTGGATGGATCTGAGCTTTTGGGGGAGTTTGGGGTAAATGATGACCCCCCCCCCCGGGTTTTGGGGGCGAAATGAGGTGGGTAGAATGGGGTTAACCCTGAAATTATGGAGATTTTACGGGGGCGTGCAATGATTCGCGGGTGGCGCACTAGTGGGCGCGCGGGGGATGATGCCACAAATCCCGGACCAGTTGAACGCGGGCGCGCTGATTCACGCATCTAGTAGTAGCGGAGGGATGCGTGATAGGAAAAGCTGAGGGTGATGCGGAAGAGTTGAAACCTTAATCAAAAGCAAATAAAAAAGTTTAAGTCAAAAAATTTTTTGAGATATTTCCTTAAAACGTGGAAAAATCTGTAAATGTCTACAAGTACGTTTCTACACCATACGTTTTGTCTCAAACTGCCGTAAATTCATCAAGAACCAAAAAAATCTGAATTACGTGAATACGAGTTAAAAGCCGGCCGTTCGCAGATATTTTCGCCTTCCTCCATTTGAGATCTAAAGTTCAATTCTCAGTCCATTATACGGTGAATTACAGGCGAAAGCCAAGTCCGTTAAAAAGCTGAATTATAAGCGAAAACGTGAAAATTTATAATTCCAATAAAATTTTGCAGTAACTATCGATAAATGCGTCTGAAAAACCAGTAAAAAAATGAATGAAAGGAGAACACAGCTAAAATTAGGCTTTTCCAAACTATTTTTGCCCAACATTATTTATATCCCCTTCAGTTGCCGATTTTTCTGGATCAAAGGACCCACTCCACTTTCCACCCAAAGCCATCATCCCATCCGTCTAATTAGGCTGGGAATGAGCGGCAGGGGTTGTTCAAGGCCCGAAACTATGGACTCTCACTGCAGCCGGTCAAGGCCCCACCCTTCCTATCCAATACAACATACCTACAGGCGGCTTTGATCTGTCTCTGCAGTCACCCTTGGCTGACTCTCGACCACTTCACAACCCTTACTGCCCAGTGCTGCGACACCTCGACAATAGCCTCAGGGCACACACAAAAGTGAGAACGGATGGATGGGGAAGAGGAACTACACAACTGACAACGGGAATGTCCTATTTGTTACTCCGTACTCCCCGATAAGTGAGCTATTTTCGGGGTGCTTCTCTGACCGTTGAACGAGTCACTGAAAGAGCTAAAAGATGCAGTAGGGAGAAGTTGAGTACGCAAATGTGGAAATGGGGATTTGCATTGGCTGCAATTATTAAAAGCGCAGGGCGTGACAAATCGGAAAGGGACGTCCTAAGAAAGGTATCTAAAAATTAAATCTGATCCCTTTGAAACGATTTTTACCTTTTTGTAGATACCAGATTTCTAAGAAATATTTTTGTAACCGCAATATTTAGAAACACGCTAAAATCTAAAAATAGATTAAAAAAATTACAAAATAAAAATTATTTTTCGACTGCATTCGAAAAGTAAAGTTATTCAACGTTTTTGAAACCGACTAAATGCTCCGTAAAATCATCAGTTTGCAAAGAAAACGCCGAGTTAACGCAACCCTGCACTGGCGGATTAACGACCAAATTATAAAAAATTATAGAAATACTACAAAGCCACCAAATTATTTTTTTAACTGGCAGATGCTGAAAAGAACTATTTCTCGCTTTACCCCCAGGCATTCAATCCCCCTATTTTTTGGTCATCTGCCAGGCCATGCTCAGATTTTTATACCCTTTTTTCGAATAACCTTTTAAAGATCCCGGCCCAACGGGACCGTTTTCAGCTCCTTGCAAATACACTCCGCTATAATGCATAGAGGCGAAATGTGTCCCGACAGCCTCTTCTCCTTATTCTCCCCTTCCAACCAAACACCCACATATGAATGCATTTTTTCGGGGCAACTGCTTCGGGGTGGGTGGAGGGGGAAAGCCCCGAAATCGCGGAAGTGATTGTCCGGCAAGAAACCCGGGCGAAGAAAAGAAGAATTCGAAGCATTCCGTACATAACACGCTGTTTGCACGAACCTCACAGAGCCCGGATTTCAGCGCCGAGCCGCCCCCAGGCCCATCACAAATAGACGCAGGGGATACGTTTTATCAGTTCAGCCGCCAAAAAATGACGTACGCGCTGTTTTTTTTGGGGGTAAAAATAGAATACACATGTTCAAAACGAACCTCGATGTTTTCAGCGGTGGCGGATGAAGCAACATTATTTTGGCGGGGGCCACGAGGGGGATCAGACCATCTGGTCCTGCGCCGGAAATGGATTGGATGAGGCAGAAAGGCGAAAAATTTGAAAATCGAAGAAGTAGCTTTCTCACGAGAGGCAAAAAATCTGAAAATTTGAAAGAAGCTGAGATTAACGGATTAAGGGGGAACTGGGAAGGAAAGGTACTAACAGAAATCAAAAAGTCTGGGGAGTGTGCCGGCCCTTATCAAGTGTTTTCAGGGCCCCTCCCTTGAAGAAAGCAAATAGCTTGGGCTATAATTGGATTCGTAAAAAGATGGGAAGCAACAAATTTGAAAATATACAGGGAAATCGGAAAAAAAGGAAAGAGCAGAGCATTCTAAATTGATTTCGAAAACCCTTCGAGACGCTATAGTCTACAGAAGTTGCTAAAGTAATCTCAAAAAATACCGCAAAAAATCACTTAAAATTTTTCAAAACGACAAAAGAAAAACAATCTCGAGAAAATTTAATAGCGTCAAAAGGTCTATAGCCACCTAGCAGTCTCAAGAAAATTTAAAAATTGCTAGAAAAATATAAATAAAAACTAAACAATTCAGAAGCGTCTTAAACGATACCATAACGTCGGCAATTTACCTAAAAGGGTTCTTAAAATTTCAAAATGTTCAGAAGCCATTGGAAAAAATTCCATATCGTCAAAAACTATGTCGCAATCCCTTTAAAATTTCAAAATTACCAGCAAGAGCAATAATAAAATCGAAACAATTTTCTAGCGTGCCAACCGGCTATCGGTATCCGTACTAGGATTTATGAAAGCTCGACTCTGCTGTCGCCGAAGCGCGGGAGTGCTCTATAATTTCAGGGGTGACGACCGGAGAAGAGGAGGAGAGGAGGACAAGAGCCAACGGGGTGCGCGGAAAAACAATAAAACGAGAGGAATGGTCGCGGCGACTGGTGGATCGCGACGACAAGCCGCGAGTGTTCGTTCGTTCGCCGGTTCGGGGCTCTCATCATCGAGTTCCGCCGGCCCCGTCCCGAATATCCCCTCGGGGGGCATGGAAAGTGAGGACCGCTGGGGTGGGGAGGGGGGAAGGGCGGAGAGATGGAGGAGGGCATGTCCCACATCGTGCACACCAAACACACCCACCATCAAAGAGCCCAACCAACCCCCGAAACTCCCCATTGCGATCCAAGAATCGAGCACCAAGTGCCCACTTTCAAAGGAGGGTCCGGCGAGCGAGCGATCGGCATAAAAATGGTGTAAGACAATTTGGCGCAACACCAAGCACTATTAACCCTGGGGGTTTAGAATTCAGGGATACCAGGGTTGAAAAGCCGCTTCGCGACTTTTCAACCCTGGCCCCGTCTTGGACCGCATGCTGTTTTACGCTTTGCATAATTGCGCTGAATTCAGATGACCAAAAAATGAAAATGATTCGCTTGTGACCCTTTATATAGGTGACTTCCTACTTCCGGTCAATGTTAATTTTTCCTAGCGAAGAGGGTTTTACAAAAACCTAAATTTAATATCGAAAATGGCTGTTTTATAAATCTGATATGTGGGCGTCATCCCTAGACCATTGCACCTATGACGTATCGTACCCACCCCTAACTTCTTC